TTTAACATTAATCTTCAAACTAAAATTTTCAAGATACTCCCTCCGATAACTATTATAAACAAAAAAATAATCTTAAATTTTAGTCATTATTATAAGTAAAAGTCATTAACTTTTAGACTAGTTAATGCTTGTATTACTATTATACCCTTAATTTAAGTCAAAAGCATTTAATGTTGATAGTTGATTAATCAAATATAATTAAGGATATTATAGTAAATTTTACTTTAATTGTACATGAAATCAAGAAAATTAATTACACTTAATTAACTTTCTTAATCTGTGTGAAATTATTTATTTTGGCTTATAATTGTGAGCGAAGGGAGTACTGTTTAGCATCTTCAAAGTCAGAAATACAACAACAATACAACAAGAAATTAATTTTTTTAAAGTTTGGTTTAGGGGAAAAATATAGTTTCGTTAATAGAAGATGAAGTTTGGAGGCAAATGAGTTATGTTTAGTACAAAAGTGAATGAATGTAGAACTTTTATAGATAAATCCGACTAACCTTTCCCCATGGTTGATAAAAAGGATCGAGCTGTTGTTCTTCTATTTTTCTATTTTAAATTAAAACGTATCATCTTTCCCCACCATTGTTAAAAGAGACCGAGGTGAAAATTATTTCTTTTAAATTAAAATAAAATACATAAACGAAATTGTAGCTTATTTTATTCCTTTTAGAACATAGCAACGTTCTAGCGGAAACCATCTCCATATATGTACAAAACATCATTTCTTAACCTCAATCATATCTTTTCCAAATCGTATGAAGCACGGAAAGGAAACATGAAACTTGCAAGAAGGAAACACAAAACTATTTTTTAAAATACTTTTTCATCATATTTACAATGTATGCAACATTTTTGTGGTTCATGTTACAATAACGTTGTTGTTGTTAAGACCGTAAATTCTGGAGGTTTAATATTGTTGTTGTTTTTGTTGTTGAGATTGAGATTAAATTTTTTTATATTGTTGTTCTTGAGATTGAGATTGAAGTTTTTATATTGTTGTTTAGATTGAGATGAAATGTAATATGTTATTGTTTCTGTTGAGATAAGTAAAATTTATTGTTGATATTGTTGTTGTTATTGAGATTGAAGATTTTAATGTTATTATTGTTATTGCGTAGGTTGCACAAGGTTTTTAGTGGAGAGAAAGAGTTTGGTATCTCTCGAAAGACCTTAACTTAGAAGGAAGTTTATAGAAGACAACAACACATTAAACTTGTCTTTGGAAAGAAACAAAAAAATCCCGTGGAGAAAAATTCTTGGAAAAAGAGGTCAGTATTCGTTGATCTTCCATACTAGTCTAGTCTTGATGCAAGACATTGTATTGATGTGATGCACGTGAAGAAAAATGTATGTGATGGTTTGATTGGAACACTTCTCAATATTAAAGACAAGACAAAAGATACTAATAAATCTCGCAAAGGTATGGTTGTGATGGGTATACGGCAATAATTAGCCTTAAAAGAAGTAGGAAATATAACATATTTGTCCCCAGCATGTCACACTTTGTCTAAAAAAGAAAAAAAGTTTTTGCGAAAAGTTCTCCAATGATACTCATCAAATGTAAAGAAACTTATGATAGAGAATTATCATAAATTATTGGCTTAAAATCTAATGGTTATAACGTTTTAATGCAACAACTTCTACCAGTGACTATCCATGGCATATTACCAAGAAATGTAAGAGTGACTATAACCAGATTGTGCTCATTCTTCAATGCTATATGTAGTAAAGATATATATCCTGAAAATTTAGATGAACTGGAATACGAAGCAACAATTATCTTGTGCCAATTAGAGATGTTTTCCCCTCTATCATTCTTTAACAATATGGTTCACTTAATTGTTCATCTAATAAAGGAGATTAGAATTCATGGTCCAGTTTATTTATGATGGATGTATCTAGTAGAGTGTTACATGAAGATTTTCAAAGGGTATATAAAGAATCATCATCGTCCAGAAGCTTTGATCATAGAAAGGTACCTCATAGAAGAAACTATTGAGTTTTGTACACACTATTTGTCAGATGCAAACTTTATAGGAGTTCCAGGGCCTCGTCGTGATGGATTTTATGATGGTAGAGATATTCAAGGTTTAAATGTTGATACATTTAGTCGACAAGTAGTTCTTCAAGCACATTTGTATATATTGAATAACCTTAGTGAATTTAATCCTTACTTGGCCGCTCACAAAAGTATTATAAAGGAAAAATTCCCCCGAATGAATGAAAAATGGTTGTTGACAGAACATAACAAAACTTTCATAGATTGGTTTAATGAAAGTATTTCTAAAGAGAGTGGTGTATTGGATAATTGCAAATGGTTGTCATATTTTCCTAAGTTTAATGTAATTACTTAGAGTGCATACGACATTAGTAAATATTCGTTCTACATAAAATCAAGGGATGATCGTAGCACCATGCAAAATAGTGGTGTTATGGTTGAGGTTGAATCCATGTACTTTTCTAGTTTCAAAGATAACAATCCAGTACTAGCATCTAGAGCGTACTTTGGGGCCATTGAGGAGATTTTGGAGACCGACTATGTTTCTTTTAAAGTGTATTTACTTAAGTGCATGTGGATTGACAGTAAAACTTGTGTAGAAACTGATGAATTAGGATTCACAAGGGTTGATCTTTGAAAGGCAACTTATAAGAATAAACCATTCATCATGGAAAACCAAGAAAAACATGTTTTTTATGCCACTGATCCATCTAACACTAGAGGGTCAATTGTTCTTCAAGGAAAACATATTCCTGATAGTATTGATGAAAATCAAGATTTTAACTATGAGATGTATTATTTAGTAACACGTGTACGTAAATCATTTGAAAAAAATGATCCTGACGTTGTGCATGCAATTCGTCATGATCATAAAGAGGGGATATGGGAAAACTATGAAGTAAATGATTTATTGCTTTTGTTTCTTAACCATTTGTTTTAGTTGTAACATAAAATTATAAAGTGTATGCCATTTTAGGTTTTTATTTGGTGTAATCAATGAACATTTGTGTTTCAGATTGAGGAATATTTGTGTTTCAGATATGGGAAAACTAGTAAGTAAATAGTTTATTACTTTTATTTATTAATCATTTGTTTTAGTTTTGATGTAAAATTATAAAGTATGTGCCATTTTGGGTTTTCATTTGGTGTAATCAATGAATATTTATATTTCAGATTGAGGAACTGGCAAAACATACAATGTCTCTATTTCAAGAATTTGCAAAATATGGTTATGTATTCTGTAATATGGTTATGTAATATAGGTGCAAACGGCCGTACAAAAAAATCTTAACCCCTTGGTTTTCTCAATAAAACGAGGTAAGAACATTGATATATTTCCCGGGTTCTTCAAAACATTGAGTGTTAATATTGGGCATGCCATCCAGTTCTAAAAGTAATAGAAATGCTGATGCTCGGAATCGAACCCACGTGCAGTTAACTTTACCCCTCAACATTTTAATATCTGAGGTGATAAGGGGTGAATTTTCATGGCGTACTTCTTTACCTCGCTTCTGTAGCCGAGGTAAAATGCATTTTGCGTTCGACGTTAGATGTTTTTTTTGTTGTAGTGGTTATTCCAACATCGTGTCTAACATTTGTCTCCTTAGAAACATAATTTCAATTGGCATCAGAGCAGGAACCCTGTTATGTTTGGGTGAGTTCTAGGGAGGATATTTTTTATTCAAACGAAAAAGAGTAAAGTTGGAGGTTCTGTCAACAGGCCACCTATGTTGGATGGCATAAATTATGACTATTGGAAAGCCATAATGGTTGCTTTATTAAAATCCATAGGCCGCAATGCTTGGAATAATGTGGCTAAAGGTTGGAAACATCATGTGATCACCTCTCAAGATCGTTCTACAAGCTTAAAGCCTGAAGTTGATTGGTCTAAAGACGAATATGATAAAGCTCTTAAAAACAAAAAATCCTTGAATTCCATATTTAATGGTGTTAACAAGAATATTTTTAGACTAATAAACACTTGTATTGAAGCTAAAAAAGCTTGGGAGATACTCAAGACTGCTCATGAAGGAACATCTGACGTTAGGATGTAAAGGCTTCAGCTCCTCACTACTTAGTTTGAAAATGTGAAGATGATGGAAGACAAATACATATATGATTCCAACATTAGATTGCATGGTATAGCCAACAATTCTTTTTCCTTGGGAGAAAATATGTCAGAAGAGAAGCCATTGAGAAAGATTCTCAAATCTTTGCCTTAGAAGTTTGACATGAAGATAATAGCTATAGAGGAAGCCTGAGACTTAAGCACCTTGAAGATTGATGAACTCATTTGGTCCCTACAAACCATTGAAGTTTTTATAAATGGAAGATCATAAAATAAGAGCAGATGTGTAGCTTTTGTATCTAATACTTCAGAGAAGATATATCAAAGTTATAAGGACACTCAAGACGATTTTTCATATGTTATAACTTTAGTTGATAGAAATTTAAACAAAGCCTTGAGAAGGCTAGACAGACAATGAAGGACAAATGGTCAAGACAAAGTGTCTAACATCAATCTTCAGAACAATGATAATGATGAAGACATCTATATAAAAGGAAAAGGTCCTAAATGTTATGAATGTGGAGGATTTGGTCACATCAAGTCTGAATGTTCTACCTTTCTAAAGAAATAGAAAAATGGATTCTCAATCACTTAGTCTAATTCTGAAAGTGAAGAAGAAAAAACAAACTTTGTGATGGTTTTTACTGAAAAATGTGTACCAAATGATGAAGACATGGTTATAGAAGAACCTATTGTAACGTATGGGATTCAACACATAAAGTGGAAGGACAATTACTTTAATGATGAGAATAATACGAGAACTATATGTATGCTTTAGAAGGAAAAAGATATGTGACATCAATCATCACAAGTGTGAAAGAAGAATTAATCATACTAAACTCAAAAGGTGAAAATATGACTAAGTATGTGCATATGTTGAACAATGGTTTAAATATACTAGATGAAATAGTGAAGTTTAGAAAGATGTCTAATATTCAGAAGGGAATGGGTTTTGAATCTAGCATGATCAAGAAAATCACAAACCCATATGAGAATTTTGTTCCTCTTGAGAAGAAGATTGAGGTTCTTATGGTCAACCATATGTCCTAACATCAAGATAAACATGTGTTCCCTCACCACAAAAGTCACAAGAACTTGTCTTAGAGATGTACTCGTTGTGGTATATATAGGCATATAAGGCCTTATTGTTATAAGATATATGGCTATTCCCACTCCTATAGTAAACCAAGACTGAAGAGAAATAAGGGCAAAAAGTTTCAAAGGAAGAAGAAGTGGAAGTCCAAAGTTGCTCAAACACCTCTTAGAGCATCCTCAATAGATGACATGTACCTTAATAATGTGTATTCCAGACCCATGATTGATGGAAAGATATATCTGAATAATTGAAGCTCCACTCTAATAGTTAGGATGTAACTAGAGGAATAATCAAAGGCATAAGCAAACTAGTGATCCAGGTGTTCCTTGGACTCATGATATGCTAGTGGTAGAAGTATTATCTACTAGTTTGATAGAAAGAGCCAGTTTTATGATCAAGATCTTAATAGTAGTATCAAATAGAAGTGTCAAGTAGAGAAGCAAGCAAATATGCCTTACAAGATGTTTCAACATCTTACTCATTATTCAGAATTACAACATATAAACTATATGAGAATTAAACAAGGTGTTGTCATTGAAGGGTTATTTGAAGGTCATGTTGGAGGTCCTCCCAACACTAAACAACCAATAGTGGTTCATAAGAAGAAGCCAAAGAAAAATGGAAGTTATGGCATAATTGGTGTTCCTTTTCATAACTCATGAGTTTTGATCAACCAAAAACATGATAGTATGGTTGATATTGATGTTTAGTTGATTCAGTTGAAACTTTGTTATGAGATGTATGCTCTCCACATTATTACATATTGTGATAAGACTGACTTGATACTAGTGGAGTTGTGATGGATGTCTTGGGCCTATAAGAATCACTATCTCAGTCAAAGGGATTTTGGTAAGGAGACCCAGGAAACCACTGGGAGGTCAAGATGTTGATAAAGATGTTCTAGACATCTCCTACGACATGTTGGTAGAGTCTCAAATGTATAAGGAGAATGATGATCATTTCCATGAAGATGTTGAGGTTGATACTATCATAATTAGTGGTGGTTTTGATAACAACCATGATCATGAAATAATAGATGATGATACATTGTGTTAAGGTATGTTATATGCTGAAGAAGATGGAAGGTTACATGATCCTATTATCCAGTTTGAAGCTATAAGATTGATACCAAGAATTTCATATAATTTGAAGTCCAAAATTTATTTGTTGAATGTAAAGAGTGCCTCTCTTAATAGATACTTGAATGTGGAAGTTGAAAACCTCCTTTGTGCCAACAAATTGAATAGTATCATGGAGAAATTAATCATGTATCATGGTAGAAAAACTCATGAAAATGTTCATGTGGTGAATAATGTGAATGACAATATTGTGAATGTTATCAATAATTCTGACAGTGCTGATAATGGGTTTATCCCTTTGAATAATGGAGTTCATGGTAGGTCTAAACCAGTCAATGAAGGTGGTACCAAAAAGGCTTATATTTGTAAAAATGTTACGAAGAGGAAGTATTTGAAGTGAATAACCACTAAAAGGAAGCTTTCAAGAGAAGCACTGACATTTTAATAGAGTGTTCAACTGCTGGAGGATGTCATAATGAAAGACTTTGAAAATCTTAAAATAATTCCCAGTTGTGTTGGAGGGATGTCAGACTTGATGGTGGAACATTTGTTTCCAACAAATGAAGTCTAGGTTGGAGATAAGTTATGTAAGGGAATTCAATTATGTTCTTGGTCTTCAAGAAAAGAAAATGGAATACAATAGTGAAAGGTTTCAAGCAAATCTTATGGTTAGTTCTCTTGATCAATAAAAGAGAATCTTGAAGTATGACAATGAGACATGTGACGATGTTATACTTTGCTTACAAGACACCAACTCAATATTAGTCAAATATTGTAATGCTGATTGGACTAGAAGTGTAGATAATAGACATAGCACATCTGGTGGATTCCCCATTGTTGGAAATAACTTAGTATCTTGGTTCAACAAGAAGCAAAATCATGTCTCATTATCAACAACTGAAGCTGAATATATTGTTGAAGAATGCAATTGTACTCAATTGCAATCGATAAACCAAACGGTGAAGGAGTATAATGTGGGACAAGATGCTGTGACATTATTTTATGAAAATTTGAGAAATACGTGTACTTTAAAGCTCATTTACATCAGTCATCACGTCATTGGGAAATCTATAGTTAATAAGATTGTAACTGAGAAACAGTTGAAAGACATTGTCACTAAAGCCTGGGATGTAATTCAGGTTGAAAAGTCAAGGGATTCTCTTGGTATCTACATGTGTGAAACCTTGTAGAAATCAATGCTTGAGAGTCGTGGCAAGATAGAAAAGCATTTCTCTCCCCTAAGACCAATGTGGCATGTAAAAAAGGAAAATTATTTTCTTATTTCAATTATTTTATAACTGGGTTGTCGTTATAAGTAAGGAAAACCTACACTTTACTTCATTTTGCTCTCTGAAAATGTATCTCTATTTGATCCTTCAAGCTCATCCTCACATCTACAAAACGAATGAGAGTTCCAAAGATACATCTAAGAAAGCAATTGGAAACTTCTCAGTCAAAGAAATCGATGTACCTAAGGATGTTGGTGAACTTCTGGTGTCTTTGGTGAATAAGACCAAGGACGTTGGTTTCTCTTCGATTGGAAATGTTAAGAGCAACATCATCTTTATTGAACCTTCTGGGGGAACATCTGCCTCTAAGAAGATAATGATGAAAAATTTGAATCCTTAGAAGATAAGGTAGATAGAAGTTTCATTTGAATAACTAATATAATTAACTGAATCAAGGTATTATCCGTCAGATATGGACTGAGTAGTTTAGATCTTGATATAAGAAGCTAGAGTTGAAGCTGTCTACCTAAAGACAGGAGTAGGGTAATTTCAAGTGTTCTTGCTTCATTTTGGCCCTTGTATTTGGGCATGTTTTGATGTTGTAATGTCTTGATAGTTTTTAAGCTTTTGTACCAATAATTGTCATGATAATCTATCATCGTATTCAACATGGAGTTTTTTCAAGCTAGTTCTAGTGCAGAAGGGACACATGTGGAACCCGATGTTCTAATATATGTGTTGGAAAATCTGGTCTCTTACAATAGACAAATGTTATTTCTGTTATAGTTCTAAGTTATTGTATTACAGATTCACTCTATAAAGAAGATCTATAGATTCATGTTGAACAATTAATTTGGATGTACTGGTGCAACATCTTGAACACGATGTTTCAACATGCGTGCAATGCAACATCTGGCCTTGAAAACATGTCATACGGATGTTGCTTGGTGCGTAATTTTTTATTGAGATTTAATCATATTTGTTACAGTTATTTTAGCAATGTTTGTTTGATTTGTTTGACAGTTAGAGATGTTCAAATCAAATTTAAATGGAGATTTAAATTTGAATTTGAATTTCAAATATAACAAATCATATCTAATTGTTGGAGACACTCATGGAGAATATCATATCCAACTAAATCAACTATTTTTTGGACTAAATCAAATCAGATATTCAAAGGAGAAAATCCTAGAAGACATTGTTGTATAAGGAGGCTTAGTATCATGTTTGAGACATGGATTTTGTGTGCAAGGTTTAGAATGCTTGTGCTAGGGTTTAAATTTTTGTATATGTGTAATACGGTGGGAGAATTGACTGTTATACTAGTTTTGCATTTGTATTTGCAATGTTGCGGTTAGCAAGAATTGTCACCGAATTTTCTTTTATCCAACAAAGGAAAGGGTGAAAAGAACAAAAAAAGACCTTTCAATATTATTTCTGAGTAAGGGGGTAGATTATGGAAAGGGAAGGTGTTAGCACCCTTTCCATCCGTAGTTATCTACGAGCTCTTAATTGCTAGCTCATTTGAAAATGACTTGTGTTTGTGTGTTTGAAAAAGTATTTTGAAAAGATGCCTTAGTGTGGCGAACTTTGTAATGTTTTTCGTATTGTTGAGAACGTATACAAAGTGTTTTTGAAAATATTTTTGGAAAGGAGTGTAGGTGTGGAAAATGTTTTGTTTTGAGCAAGCATCTAAGAACTATCTACCTACTCGAAAAGGTTTATTCTTTCCCTCTTTTCCTTTAGACAGTGCTATCCTACTATTAGTGAGTAGGTAGCCCCATCGTTGGATGTTTGAGGGACAATCGAGGGTCATCGTACAGTCACAAAGGTAATTCGTATGGACGTTTTAGCAATCTTGTTTAAGGGACTAAATCATTTTACCGAAAGGCAACACCGAAGAGTCATTGAGGGACTATGATCTTTTGATTCGTGGGTCTTTGCTAAAGCGTCCCCACTTTCGAGGGACATGACTATTGTTTTCCGAAGACAATAAGTGGAGGTACCTTAGAGGTGCTCATGTGCGAAGTGTTTTGTTGTTTCAGTTATTGTTTATCTTTGATGTTAAGGTTTTCTAATGTTTTGTTTTTAGATCTTGCCATACACGTCCTAGTTACTACACAGTTACATAAAATGCGAGAAACTAAAGGCCTACAACTATTACATTCCATAATCAGTTACATAATAGAAAAAAATGCGAGGAAATGTAAACTACAACTATTACAAAATTACCCGTGCGACCTATACATTGTTTTCTAGAATTTAAGAAATTATTATATTTTCACAAAATGTGCTAGTAACTCGTGGATAGATTAAGAAATTTCCTTCGGACAAACTAACATAAAAACTAGGACCCCGACTTTGTTGGTCCATGCTTGAGAGTTATTGTTTTAGTCTTAGTCAACACCTAACACACTCATATTTAGATAACTCGAATCCAACTAATACAAATAGTTCAATATATACACTCTACTTAGAGGCACACCACATCGAGATCGTTTATCAAGGAACATTAAATAAAAATGTCACATAATATCTTAACAACTGTCCTTTGAAACAAGTGTCTCTTGAAGAAGGTTCTAGGACCTCAAATCCTAAGAGCTTACTATAAAAACTAAAAAAAATCACTTATAAAAATACATAAAATCTTACACTTATAATCATCATTAATTCGATCATGGTAGTATTTGTAAGTACACCTCTATTGCAAAGCAAAGCAAAAGACTTTATGTTCATCGTTAGATATTCAATTGCAAACAACCTGTAGAAAGAAAGATTTGTTGCCGGTGGTGGAATTCATTTATGAATTTTATTAAGTGTTTTAATTGGAAAAATTGAGTGTTTTATTAAATATTAATATTAAAAAATTATAGTGATACGTAGAAGTAAGACTTGTTTAATAACTAAAATAAAAGCTCTATTGTGAACTTTGTTAATATATCTACTATGAAGAGACTTTAGTCTTATCAGTTGACACACTAATATTTTTCTTGAATAAGTGAATCACTCTTTCTTTGTACCATAAAACAAAGTAATTAAACAAACAAAAATCATAAATACTACAAGCTTATTTTAGTACCATTACAAATAAATATGTTTTATCAGTCTGAAGAAGATTTTGAATTTTCGCCAAGAAAAAAACACATTCGATTCATTAAACTCGATTAGTAATAATGTTGAGTAGAATATAAACCGAGAGGCTTAATTATCTTTACTTATATTCCTTTAGTGAAAAAGACTTAATCATATCTTACCAAAAATAAAGAAGACTCAATCATAAAGACTCAATCATATCTTACCAAAAATAAAAAGACTCAATCATATGGTGGTAGGTAATTTAGTT